AGAAATTGTGAATTTTGCATGATCAATGATTTAATTTAAGTGTAAATTGAATTGAGAATTATTTTCATGAAGAACCCTAATTTTAAAATTGAATGCGATTTAATTTTAAATTACTTGGACCAATTTAATTTAATTTAACAAATGTTGTTTTAATTAAATTAAAACTTTAATTAAAAAAAATTATTTTGTGGCTGATTTGAGGCAGCAACCCGACTGGGTGGTGCAGCCACGGTGGCTGCCGTCGGTGGTGGTTCAAGAGGAGGGTAGGGGCGGGGCAGCAGGTTCGAGAAAAGGAGGAAGCAGCAGCAGCACCGTGCAACGGTTGCGCGACACTGATGTTGCTGTCGCGCGCCGCTGCTGTGCAGTGTACACCGTGGCTGGCTTGGGCTGGCCACACCATGGTGGTTGGCTCGGTTTTCAAAAAAATAATTATTTTATTTTAAAATTCAAAATCAGATTTTATTTTGAAAAAGATAAGTTTTCAAAATTAAAGTTGTTAACTTTGATAAGTTTGTTAGGATATTATGAGCAAAAGATACTATATGGATAATAATTGATTTAATAATGAGATTATCCCATAATTATTTTAGGATATAATTGATTTAAAATTATGTGATTGGCTAAGTAATTAGGATAGAATTTCCTAAATTAGTTAGGATAATCATGGAGAATAAATATGATTTATCTTTCCAAGATTAAAATAAGATTTGATTCTCTCTCATACCTAAATTAAAATATATGATATTTTATAATTGGTCATGAATATTATATGATATTATCTAACTACAGTTTAAAAATATGAGATATTTTGGTACTATGTTTCCTTAATTATGAACATTCGATGTTGTAGTTTAGGAAAGCATGTTGAGTGATTTATTATATGACAATTTTATAATATATGATATTATTTTGCTATATATAGACTAGTATGACCCATAGATTCTAAATACGATCTGCATATCGTGATGTATTTTTGTAATTTAAATACGGTCTGCGTACCGTTAAGTATTTTTGTAATTTATTTTATTTTATTTAAGTAGTAAGTATAATAGAGTAAAATTACAGGTTGCAGTTAATCCAAGAAACCCATGGAGTAAAGGCCCAAAGGAGCAAGGTGGATGAGATCCATGAAGGTTCAAGTGGGAGCTTTTGCTTTATTAGTTTTCTTAGGATTAAGGGGCCATAATATGTCATGTTTTATTTATGCATTAGTAGATTATGCATGCTAGGATTTATTTATGTTGTTGATGATGCGCTAGAGTTCACTAAATTAATTACAACATAATAAATCTAGGTCCTGATAATATTGAGATTGTTTTTCCAATTAAAAACCCAACAACCCTTCGATAATTAATGATAGGTCATGCCATAGCTAGGTGTCATTTTTATATCTTAGGTAACTTGGGGTAAATCAAGTTTTACAATTTTAATTGGTTGTGCTCTAACAAGGTTACCTAAAGAGTTTAGAACCTTGAAGCAAAGGGTTATAATTAAACATGAGATGGTTAATTATTCAACCAAGAGTTACAAGAGTTGTAATCAGTGAAGAGTTTACTCACCTTGAAAATGCAATGGTTGATGGTAGGGCCAAAGTCCGGTCAATTATTGCACAAATAAAGGGTCTTGGAATCACAAAATTCAATTGGGATCATTTAATATTGGATAAAATGTTTTAAAGTAACCTATTTAATTCTCTTATGGTGCTTTAAAATTTATTAAACATAATTATTGAACTTTGCCTTGTTTTTGTTTGTAGATGAATAACATTAATGACAACACAAACTTGCCAACCAAATTGAAAACAAAGCTAAATCTCGGAAACTTCAGGGATTGGGAAAGGGAGCTAAGAAGTGATCAAAGTGCCATGGGCTCGAAGCTCGGCTATATATTCCCATTGAAAGCAGATTCACAATGGGTTTCACACCTAAAAGGCATGCGAAATATGTTTCAAATGTAGAGAAAGTCAGGGATCTCATGTTAGCCACTATTCCAACTTGTTGGGCTAGAAGGTTTAAGGATTACGAGCCAACCTTACTGCGAGAATGCCTACATGCTGCCTATAGAGGGGGCATAGGGGCATTAGGAAGTGGAGGCATCATTGATAAGAATGTCAAGGAAATCGTTGATTCGATTCCCAAGACATATTACTCCTGGACTAACAGTGTAAGGTTTCAGACTTACAACATTCATGACAAGATAATGGCCAAGAAACTTCTACCTGGTCAGTCAGTTAAGATCTATGTCAAGGAACTGATTGAGTTACTCAATTGGATGGATATCTTAGGGAGACCATTTGATGATGTGTCTGCTCACGACATAATTCTGTTTTCACTCCATGCTGGTTTTGATGTCGTCAAGCTTATTCACGATGATGAAGGCTCTATAGTCACGCCTGTCGAATTATTGATCAACCGTACAGAGGAGTAATTGAAGAAAGAAGGAAGCCAGTGTTTCTATTGCGGTAGGTGGTCTTACCATTTACCAGAATGTCCTCACAACATGCCGTTGAAAACGGAAGGTAAGGAGTTACCTAGTATATTTGTTGTAGAAATCAATCTTATTCCTTCTTTCACTTGGGTATTCGATACCGGTTGTGGTGCTCACTTTGTTAATAACATGCAGGGCTTAAAAGGGAGTAGGAAGTTAGCTAAAGGGGAGATAACGCTTCGAGTAGGAAATAGAGCAAAAGTTGCTGCACTTGCTTTTGGAAGCTATCATTTGAAGCTCCCATCTGGTCTTATTTTGGTACTTAATAACTGTTATTATGTCCTAACAATTACCAAAAACATTATTTCAGTTCCAGTGTTAGATACTGAAGATTTTTCTTTTGAAATAAGAGACAAAAGTTGTTTTATTTTTAAAGATACTATGTTATATGCTAACGTAAAATTGATTAATGGTTTGTATATTTTAGACTAATCAACTCATGTTTACAACATAGATCATGAAAAGCGTAAAACAGATGAATCAAACCAAACCTACTTATGACATTGTAAGTTAGGTCACATAAACCAATCGTGCATCCACACTACTAGAAAAAAAATTATTTGTTGCTATTAATTTGCTGCGTTTTTGGCATATTACTGTAAATTAAATTGAGTTTTGCATATACACAATATTCATTAGCAGCGATTTTAGAATATAACCCCTTCTTTTTAAATAAAATATATTGATTAGCGGGGTGTTCCATTTAACTGCTGCAAATCAATAAAATTTCCCTTACCCCAAAATTATTTCTCTTTACCCGCCTAATTTTTGTCGCCCTCCCTCCTTCAACCTTCAAAACTCTCTCTCCTAAATATTTTTGCTCACTGCAATTACCACCAATTGCAGCCCCTTAAGGATCTCCGCCCCCCACCGGTTACCGTCCTCACCGGCCACTGCAGTTCTCATCGTTATTTACGCAATTCTCACCGGCCACCGCTTCTCTCAGGCTACTTTCAGTGGTCACCGCTCCTCTCAGGCTACTCTCACGCAATTCACACAATTCTCCTCTGCTGCTTTGAAGAGGTAATCTTTACACTTTATATTTATATTTGGGTAATTTTACATGGATTCATTAAAATTTAAGCTCAAAGTTGATTTATTTACTCTCTTGAAACAACAAAAGTAGATAAGGATTTTTCTCCTAACTATAAGTCAATGATTGATACGATGTGATTAGTTATCTAGTTGTTGGTAATTGTCTTCTATAAACTGATTTGCTGTTTGTGGAGTGATGTTAGCTATATTATTTCTTGTATCATTAGCAATTCTAAGTGTTGATATGTGTTGAAAATAGTTGATATAGAAATTAGTAGAAGGACTGAATGCATGACGATACTGCATGTTGTATTTAATGAGAATGCTAGAGGCTCTTTTTTCAACAAGCCTCTTTTCTTTTATCTTCTGCCAAAATCGTATTCTTGTATATTCTGCCAAAAATTGCACAGGCTTAGTTGTCCATTCATGACTTACATGTGCTTGTGTTTGAAAATTGAAGGATTAGTTGTGATGTTGTAACGTATTGCTTTTGCATTTTTATTATGTCTGTAGTGGTTGTTCTTTGGATATGGATCGAAGTTGGATGTATGGTCCACGAAATTTGATAGAGTATATGAATGGGGTGGATGAATTTTGCAAATGTGCTTCTTTGGATCATCAATCTAGCATGGAGGATGATGAATTTTATTATCCTTGCGTCGATTGCCAAAATGTTGAAAAGGTTCCTAGTATCACAATACTAAGAGACCATATTATTCGACGTGGATTTAGGCAACAATATCATGATTGGTTCTGGCACGGTGAGAGCGTAGTATTCAGGGAAAATCTAGCTTAGACTCTGAACGACATGTGCAATCTAATGTCGAACTTGAACCTGGACATCCACTTGTTATAATGATGAGATGCTTAGGGTGGGTGCTAATGGATCTGAAGTAGATGACGATACTGACTCCGACGAGGTTTATGTTGAGGAGGAGTATGACATTGAAGAGGATAATATAGAAGAAATGTTAAAGGGGGCCGAGCAAGAATTTAATGAGCGACCTTATTTATTTCAGATGTTATCAGAAGCGACTGAGAAACAATTATATTCTGGCTGTACCACATATAGCAAGTTATCTGCCGTTCTGACCTTGTTCAACTTGAAATCAAAGCACGGGTGGTCTGACATAAGCTTTACATCCTTGTCGGAAGCGTTATAAGACATGCTTTCGAAGGGCTATGAATTGCCTAAGTCGACTTATTATGCTAAGAAGTTGATGTGTCTGTTTGGTTTGGAGTATGAGAAAATAGATGTTTGCCCAAATGATTGTGTGTTATATCGAAATGAATTTGCACATTTGGATGAGTGTCCTCAATGCCACAAGTCTCGTTACAAGTTGGTGGACGGAGTGCAATCTGGGGAGGGTAATAAAGGCCCTTCGGCTAAAGTGCTTTGGTATCTCCCTATAATGCCAAGGTTTAGGCAATTGTTCTCAATAAAGAATGATGTAAAAAATTTAAGGTGGCATGCTGATCGTAGGAAGAAAAACGGACTTCTAAGGCACCCGACAGATTCTCCACAATGGGCTCTTATTAACAATTAATTTCCAGAATTTGGCAAAGAAGATAGGAATCTTAGGCTTGCTTTTTGTACGGATGGAATGAATCCATTTGGTAGTCTAAGCACCCAACATAGCACATGGCCAGTTCTCTTGGTTATTTATAACCTTCCACCTTGGTTGTGTATGAAGCGGAAATATATGATGATGCCTTTGTTGATAACAGGACCTAAGCAACCCAGAAATGATATTGATGTCTACCTTGCTCCACTCATTGATGATTTGAACAAAATGTGGGATGAAGGAATCTCGGTTTTTGATGCTCATTCTAATGAGTATTTTACATTGCGGGCTATGTTATTTTGTACAACCAATGACTTTCCGGCTTATGGTAATTTGTCAGGGTATAAGATCAAGGGAAAGAAGGCATGTCCAATATGTGAAGATGAGACAGAATCAACCTATTTGCCGAATTCTAGAAAGTATGTGTATAGAGCAACTCGAAAGTTCCTTGATAGGATGCATCCTTACCTAAAGAAAAAAGCTGCATTCAATGGTAAGGTAGAAGAGGGGAGAGCTCGTAGGCCATTATTGGGAACATAAGTTTATGATCGAGTTAGAGGCATTGAAACGATGTTCGGAAAACCAAATAAAGCCACCGATCCGGAGGTCATTTGGAAAAAAGAATCAGTGTTTTGGAAGCTTGAATATTGGCAACATTTGCCTTTTAGACATTATTTGGATGTCATGCACATAGAAAAGAATGTGTGTGATGCCATTCTCGGGACACTGTTTAATATTCCACACAAGACAAAAGATGGGGTGAAGGTTCGCAGAGATATGGTGCAAATGAAGATTCGACTAAAGTTATGGCCTGTGATTAAGGAGAATGCAAAGAAAGGAAAAGGAACCTCATCATACTTACCTCCTGCTTGTTATATATTGTCTCGAGAGGAAAAAAAGAAATTTTGTGAGTGCTTTTATGACATTAAGGTCCCTAGTGGATATTCATCCAACATTAAAAGACTCGTCTCCAAAACCGAATTGAAATTGGTCGGTATGAAATCCCATGATTGTCATGTCATGATGCAAGTGTTCTTGCCTATAGCTATTCGTGGGATATTACCAAAGCATGTTAGAGATGTCATTACAAGACTTTGTTCATTTTTCAATACTATATGTAATAAGGTGCTTGATTTGAAGAAGTTAGATAGTTTACAATCAGAAGTCATCGTAACATTGTGTCAATTTGAGATGTTTCACCCACCTTCCTTCTTTGACATAATGGTTCATTTGGTCATTCATCTTGTTCAAGAGATTAAGCTTTGTGGTCCGGTTTTTATGAGATGGGCTTACCCATTTGAAAGGCATATGGGATCCATACAGCATAAAAGACCGGAAGCTTGTATTGTTCAAGGGACGGTGGCAGAGGAGATTAGTAACTTCATTGCTGAGTTTGTGTCCAAAGCTCAACCTTTTAGACTCCCAAACTCTCGGCATGAAGGGAGGCTAGAAGGTAAGGGAACAATTGGTGGTAAAGATATATTCACCCCTCCACAAAAGCATATGCAAGCACACCTCTTTGTGTTACACCATGTTACGAAGGTTCATCCGTACCTAGAGAAGCATATGAGTGAGTTGAGGTCTGCAAATCCTACCAAAGGTGAAAGGGTCCTAATGTTAGAACATAATCACCTTTTTATTGATTGATTCTGTGATGAAGTGATGCATGAGTTTTCCCAAGCAGGAAACAATGTCTCTGACATAATCAAATGGTTAGCATACGGTCCTCAAGAAACTGTATGCTCTTATGAAGGTTATGACATCAATGGCTATAGTTTCTACACTGAACGTCAAGATAAAAGATCAAGGATTGTGCAAAATAGTGGTGTTACGGTTGTTGCTTCCTCTAGAGAATATGCAAGTGCCAAGGACAAGTTCCCAATTGATGCAACATTATCATACTACGAAGTAATCCAAGAGATTTGGGAGCTTGATTACACAGAATTCAAAGTGTCACTATTTCAATGCAAGTGGTCGAAAAAAGGTCGACGTGGTATGAAAAGGGATGGACCATTCAATTACACTTTAGTTAACATGAGTCGTTTCCGTGACACTGCTAAGCCATTTATATTAGCATCACAAGCCAAACAAGTGTTCTATGTAAGGGACATGATTGACAAAGAATGGTATGTTGTTGTTCAAGGGAAGAGATACATTCTTGGTATAGGTGATGTCGATGATGAAGAAGAGTATGATAAATTTGATGACAAGCCACCATTCTTAATTCTAGAATCTAATGCGCTTGAAGGATTGGACGTTGACACCAATTACATGCGCGTAGATCACCAAGAAGACATTATTGTTTAAGAACCTTAATGATCAATTCCTTATGATCATGTTGCATTATTATTTCAGTTGAACTTTTGTGTATTTTTGGTTCTTTTAAATCATCTGACTTTTTGTGCATTGCAGTTATTGTATAATTCAGTATTTCAGTACTATCATATATAGTGTAGTTCAGTTTTAATTGATTCTATTTTTTACTACCACTTATGGGACTTAAAACAACCTGAAACGAAAGCTAAGGGAATTTTTTTATCCACTTTATACTGCTGTATATCAAGGTCTACCATTTCAGATTTACCAAGGTATGCCATTTCAGATTTACCAAGTCACAATGTATTTGGAGGCTTATCTCAGTCTGTTTAGGGAACACAAAACTGAAAATCAGATAAATAGATACAGAGGCTGCCAAACTGATTTCTGGTTTAGTGTAGGATAGTGGGTTAAAATACATCATGATCATATCCTGTGTTTCTACTTCTGTAATTTCTAGTTTTTGGAGTTTTTTTTTTTTTTTTTTGTTTTTTTTTAATCGAAGTTTTATATATGTTGTAATTTTATACAAAAAAGTTGTTGTGAGATGCTGCTTATTAATTGTAATTTTTAACATTTACAGGTAAAGGGGCTATGACATGTAATGATGAATTTGATGACGAAGATTTGGAATTTGATGAAGATTTGAAATATGATGAAGAGGTAACTGATAAATCTGAGAGTGACCCCGAGTATGATGTTGCTTTAGAGGAGGATAAGGGTGAACCGGAAGACATTGCTGCTGAGAAATTAGGACAAATGCTTGATGATTTTGAGAGGATGGCTGATACAGCTTCTCTTAATGATTCTAAAGTGACAACTACAACACCATCTACAGCTGCAAATACAACCCATCAAGTTGTAACAACTGGTAAGAAGGGGATAGGCTCAGGAAGAGGTCGTGGCTCTGGTAAGGCAAGATTTCCGACTAGAGGTCTAAGAGTGAATGAACCTATGCACCTTGAATTTGATGAATTCTTGCGTCCAACTGGGAAATGGCGATTAAAGTATGGTCAACAGATTGGCCTGTGTATGCGCAAGCTGAACATTAATTGGGAATGGTGTAGTGTCAAAAAAGGCTTAAAGACAACATTGTGGCAGGAGACCCAGGTAATCCTAAATCACAAGCTATTACCTTTTATTAATGAGTCATCTGACATTTATTGTTTTACCTCTGAATCATATAAATGGTGTTTAACTGTTATACTGCTGCAATTTCAGCTTCTTGAGTATAAATTTTATACTTGTTTTCTACTTAAATGTTTGGTGGTTTTAAATTGTGTTATTGTGCTGTGTAAATTTGATCAGCCTTCTGCTGTCTTTCACTATCTTATGTATTCAAGCTATGAAAGTTCTTAAGAGAGAATATGCTATAGATTAGTATGATAAGTGGTTTCCTTCTCATATGAATTTTTTATTTAACTTGTTGAAGTGCTGATGACATGTTAGATTTATGCTATAGTAATTAGTATATTTAAAAGTATGGAGTAAGAGCACAGTGGTGTGGACTAGAACAGAACTCTGCTTACCATAAAAATCTGTGCTTACCATAAAAATCTGCTTAGCATAAAAATTTACAACTGTCTACATTGATCCCTTTGCAATGTTCAGGCTAAGAGGTGTCTAATATGCCACTTAAATAGGTTAACCTTGATCCTTTTGAGAGATTTACATTCTTCAACCTTAGATAAAGAATAAAAAAAGGTGAGCCAAAATTTTAGTGGTTCTTTTGCTTATCAGATCGAACACATTAGGAGATGGCCTGACCCCAACTTCGTGCATTGATGACCTTGATGACAAACCTAGTAGAGTTGCAGTTTGCTGCTCCTGGAGCCTCGGTCTGATGATCTTTTGATATATTTTTGCTCAAAGATATGTCATGTTCTTTCCATGTGGCTTCTGAAAAATGATGATAGTTCTAATGCAAGTGCTTGTGGACTACACTGACCGTCCAACATGACTGCTTCAATCATACTGCACTTTCTGCTAATTTTTCCTGCTTTTTAGTCATCTGTGTCTTATGTGATTTTATAGATATTTTGCGTGTTCTTGTTTAACTGGGTGTTCGTTACTCAGTTATCATTATGTAAGCTCTGCGTTTTGTCAGGGTTCTGACTTCTGATAGTATTCGTTCAAGTGGTTTTCTAGAGGATGTAGTGTCTTTAGAGAATATCCACATAAACTGGTTGTAGATTTTACCTGCATTAGAATTATGATTTCTGTTCACTATGGATGAGCTTGTACTTGGAGTGAGACACTAAGACACCAGGAAACCCATGGAGATTGGATTTTAGGATCTCATTTGATATCAAGGGTAGTGACAGAGCTGTTCAAATTTGGGTGGGGATAACTTTGTAATCCTTCGCTTGTTTCAAACAGTTTCATTTAGCCGGCGGGTTAATTCGGTTCGGTTCTGATTAGTCACGGGTCGGTTCGATTTTGGTTTATTTTTGTACGGTTTAAATTCGGTTCGAGTCATAAACGGTTCGGTTTATAAACGATTCGGTCATAATCGGATCGGTTTGAAACGGGTCGGTTCAGGGGCGGGTTTACCCTGGTCAGTGTCGGTTCGGTTTATAAACGGTTCGGGTCATGTTAGTTCAGTTTATAAACGATTCGGGTCAGGGGCGCGTTTAGCCGGGTCAATGCTGGTTAGGTTTATAAACGGTTCGAGTCATTCCGGTTCAGTTTATAAATGGTTCGGGTCATGATCGGATCGGTTTAAAACGGGTCGGTTCAGGGGCGGTTTTACCCGGGTCAATGTCGGTTTGGGTTCATATCGGTTCGGGTCATGAACGGATTGGTTTGAAACGGATCGGTTTAGGGGCGGGTTTACCCGGGTTAATGCTAGTTCGGTTCATATCAGTTCGGTTTATACTCGGTTTGGTGCTAAAATTGTTCGGGTTAGTTTGGTAATCGGTTAAATTGGATCGAGTTGAAATGGTTCATTTCTTTAGCGGACCGGTTTGATTCGGGTTAAAATCGGATTCTAAAAAGTGGTTTTGGCTAGTTAGGGCATTTTGCTTTATATCAAGTTGGGACTAGTATTTCCATTTCATTAACGGGTCGGCATAGGTCGGTGAAAAAAATAATGGATCGAGTAGAAATTGGGTGTTAAGAGCTTTTTGATCGGTTAGCTAGTTTCGGTTTATATCAAGTTGGGATTTCATAACTTCATTTTCAGACATCGAATTATATACAATTACACAAATCTTCATTTATTTAGTTATTCTATATCATGTTAATATGTTATGTTTCAAGTTTGGTTATACTCTTGTTGCTGTTTATTAGATATTATCATATTAGTCTATTACAAACTTATAAGGCATTAATGTATTATTGTTTCATTATCAAATATTATCAAGCTATGCACTTCTTGTTTGATTGTTTTACAGATCGCGTTATGACCATGGTTTGATGAGTTGCTACTTTGAATACGATAAATCGATTCACACATCGGATAATATACAATTACACAAATCCTCATTTATTTTATTATATATTCTATAATATGTTATGTTTCAAGTTTGGTTACACTCTTGTTGTTGTTTATTAGATATTAGTTTATTACAAATTTATAAGGCATTGATGTATTATTATTTCATTATCAAATATTATCAAGCTATACTCATATACATATACTAATATACATTAACTATGTCGATAATGTCATATTGAATCAAGTTCAATTTCCAAACATTTGCGTTTCTTACAATTTATAAGTTAAATAAGGTTAAATGGATTAGTTTGTTACTTTATTTAGATTATTAATTCAAACAGCCTGAAAGGCTAAATGGATGAAAGCCACGAAACCATTATATATTTATATTATTTATATAGTACAACTGTACAAGTGTACAACGAAATAAGAATCGTTTAAAGCTACATTTTGCAATTAAGATAAACTATAAACAACATTTACCTCGGAAAATAATAATAATAATAATAATAATAATAATAATAATAATAAGAAGAAGAAGAAGAAGAAGAAGAAGAAGAAGTAGAACAATAATAATAATAAAAAAAATTAATAATAGAATTGTGGGAAATAATATATACATATATAAATTTTTTTTTTTTGAAATAAATATATACATATATATTTATAATATTTTACTTAGTTTTTTTTTTGGAAAAGAAAAGAAAAAAAACAGAAAATTAAAAAAATAAAATAAAAGCAACAGTCATAAAAAAAAATAAAAAATAAATAAAAAAAAACTGAACTTCTAGAATCTGTGAGATCCTGCCAGCCACACATTAAATAAAAAAAAACGAACAAAAAAAAAATTGAACGGTTAGATTGAAACCAACGGTTAGATTTCATTAAAAAAAGTTAAAATTAACCCTAGCAAATATAACCCTAATCTCATAATCTGAGCATCACTATTCGGTGCCCCTTTTTCAGTCTTCTCTCTCTCATACTCATACAGTCATACCACCTCTCAATCTCTCATACAGTCTCATACTCATACAGTCATACCACCTCTCATGTTAAACTTGGGTGAAATTATAAACGGTTTTGCATTGAAAATCCGGTTAAATCTGTTAATTTATTCGGCAAGCAACCATTTCAACCTTCAAACTCTAATCCCGAATATTGTGGGCTTTTCCTCGAAAGTTTTTAGGTACTTTTTAACTTTGTGATTCATTTTTCCGAATTTTATCTAATTCCAATTCACTTTCTTCAGTCATCAAGGCAAAAACACCCAAGCGTCACCAAAGGCTAGCCGGGTTGCCTAGCAGCCCACATGTGGCTGCCTATGGTGCGCACAGGGGCTGTGCCTTGAAATGGCGTTGTTGTGTGGCGAGGGAAGTGCTGGTGCGTTGATGCCTGTGCGTGGCCTAGGCTGCTGGATGCTTGGGGATGCTGCTGGGCAGCATGGTAGCAAGCCCTAGCCAGCCCGCCACTCGCTGGCAGGCGCCAGCATGCGTAGCAAGCTGCTGGTGCTAGCCAGCGTAGCACGCTACGCTGGGCGCAGCATGCTAGCACCCAACATCACGCACATCCCATGGGCTGCCTAGCAGCCATGGTGCACAGCCCTCGTATTTTAAGGGTGGGCTGTTTTGCTTGAATTTTGGACTATCGCTTTTGCACAATTTTGCCGTTTTAATTTTATTTAAAAATTTTAACGAGGTTAGATCCCGATTTTTTCCGGCTCTTACAAAATTTTAATTTTGACAAAATTTGGGTTAACCGGCTTGATTAATTAGATTAATTAAGTTGGATGCGGAATTTAGTGGGAGCTTATGGATTTTTCCTGAACAAATTGCGCCTTAATAAACATAATATGTTAAACAACTTTGACTAGTTTTAATTAAGCGTGTTAATCGGATTAACCACCTAAGTTAGTTACTAGTTTTTTTTTGTGTTGTGCGATTTTACTTGTTTTTGTCGTAAAATGCATGGGCCATTCACATATAGTGAATGGGTGAATGAAAGCTTGTTTCACAGGTTTCGTGAAAATGGCAACTAGTGGGGCCCGATTAGGATAGAAAATACGGATTGCGTTCCATTACGTATTTTTGTAAATCTAAATACGGTCTGCGTACCGTTGAGTATTTTGTACCTTAATATTTAGATTAATCCTAGTCGTAGTAGCTAGTAATTTTATTTTGGCAAAGATGTCTCAAGACGGCGTTTCGATGAAGACGAGCCAAGATGAAGACCCTTGAAGATTTGAAGATTTCAAGGGGTCATGCTAGTTGCCAAATGCATCTATTTTTATGCTTTATATATAATTATGCTTATATATATATATTTGAATGTTAGATGTATGTCTAGGATTTCAAATGTTGCGATGATTAGTTAAGTTCACTTAAATCAACCAACATAGAAACCCTAGGTCCCTTAAAATATTAAGCTAAAATTTGTCGTTCCAAGAACAACAGTTACCGAACTAATGCGCGTACGTGATGGACTACGCCAAAGTGAGGCATCACTACTTCCCTAGGAACGTAAGGTATACTAGGTATACGAGTTGATCTTGGTTAGGCTCGACGATATCAGTAAGGAGTCCTTAGATGTCGTGGCAAAAAAGATAAAATGTCAAGAATGCATTAGATGCGACATTTTATCAAACCGAGAGTAGCTTAGAGCTATTAGCAATTGGATTGCTTACCCTAAAATATTAAGTGTTAAGACAAGCCAAAGCATGCTTAATCACTTTCTGATTTTTGGAATTTCGGAATCATTTTATTCTCGCCTAAAAGGGACAAATTATTAATGCGTGGATAAAATGCTCAATAAGATTGAAAATTTGCATGAACGCTTTTAAATTCAAACTTATTGGTTATATGAATGGTTTTTTCATTTCAAATTCTTCAATTGTAGAACCATGTCTGCAAGTAACTCAAACAACAATTCTATGTGCCCGGAAATCCCCGACAAGTTGGCCTTTTGCCTTAACTTGGTCAACTTCAAGGAGTGGGAGGAGGAACTCAAGAAAACTCTTCGGAATTGTTCCTTGGAGTACACTCTTGATAATCCCATTCCAAGCTTCTTCTCTAAGGGGATCATGACCGATGAGGCTCATGAAGAATGGTCTTCCAACTGCAAGAAAGTCTCACGACTTATGGCTAATTCCATCCCGGAAGATTAGAAGGAAAGCCTTTCCTCCTACCTTCCGGACATGTTCCTCTAAGCCCTTGAGGACGTTGTTAATGTGAGAGTCACCAAGAGTGACAATGGCAACTATGATGGACTCGTGTTTGATTTGACTAGGTCACTCTCAAACATGAAGAAAAAGCCACCGAATATGGGTTGTCTTGCTAAGGAAAGGCGTCGTCTTTGGACAAAGGTCTACAATACCAAATTGAGACCCGGCATGCCCCTCCGACCTCATGTACTTGGAATGACTAGGCTCTTCAAACACATGCAGCTTCTCGGAATCTCATTAGAGGAGGAGATGGCGGGGCATATCTTGCTTGCTTCGCTCTACTCGGGCTATGATGCACTTAGAGTGCATATAGCTGCGGGAAAGGAGACACGCTCTTTAATGGAGGTGGTGCAACTACTTAGCCGAGCCACCGCCTATGGAGTGACCGAGAGGCGCTTGAGAGCAAGGAGGAAGGAGTTCAAGAACAAGGCAAAGATGCGGTGCTTCCATTGTAGTGGGCAAGGCCACTACAAGAGGGAATGCAAACTTTTCCGAAAGGAGGAGGAAGAGAGGAATGTGGCATCTGCCTCAGGTATCTTCATTAAAAACTTGTATAAAAGCTATTCATAGGTATTGGATACCAAATATAACTCACTTTACATTGCCTTTTCAGGAACCAAGTGAGATGGCTTCACAAGTGGATGTGCGACTGCAAGTGGACAACAAAGATGGTCTTTTGGTCGTGCTTGTAGGCACATTTATTTTGTCCATGAAACTAATCTTAGTTTCATCATGCTTTTAAACATACTATGATCTATGGTGTTGGACACCAAGTTATTTTGATCGTAAGACTTTGACAATAGTTGTCTCAAAATGTCTTGTTTATATATGTTTAATGGAAATTGCATGTTTTTACATATTATTAGACAAATGTTGATACCGGTGACAAAACTAAGACAATTCATTACCTTCACCGACGACTATAGTAGATATGGCAATGTCTACCTAATGTCGAATAAATCTGAATCCTTGGAGAAATTCAAAGAATTTCAGAGTGAAGTTGAGAATCAAATTGGAAAGAAGATAAAAGCGCTTCGATCGGATTGAGGTGGCGAATATCTAAGCCATGAATTCGACGATCACTTGAAAGAAAATGGTATTCTTTCAAAGCTGACACCTCCTGGAACTCCTCAATGGAACGGAGTATCCGAAAGGAGAAATCGAACCTTGTTAGACATGGTTCGATCAATAATGGGTCTTAGTGAACTTCCTATCTCTTTCTGGGGACACGCGCTCCTAACTGCGGCACTAACTCTGAACCGTGCTCCGTCAAAAGCTGTCGAAAAGACTCCATATGAATTATGGACTAAGAAACCTCCAAGGTTGTCTTTTCTTAAGATTTGGGGTTGCGAAGCATATGTCAAGCGATTAATTTCTGACAAGCTTCACCCGAAATCAGACAAGTGTTTCTTTGTGGGCTACCCAAAAGAAACCAAGGGGTATTACTTCTATAATAAATCCGAGAACAAAGTGTTTGTTGCTCGTGATGGTGTCTTTTTGGAGAAGGAACACCTTTCCAAAATGACAAGTGGGAGGAAAATCGAACTTGACGAAGTTCGAGAGGACGAGCAACAATGTCAACCTGATAAAACTGACAATCAAAATGCTTTAGAAGCAGTTGATAAGATTGGTCAGAATCAAACAGACAATGTAAATGCTCAGCCTATTACCCTTCGTGGGTCGCAACGGCCAAGATCTCAATCAGACAGATACCTTGGTATTGTCTTAACCAAAGATCAGGACATCCTAGTCGTGGATGGAGATGAGCCAGCGATATACAAACAAGCTATGACGAGCCCCGAATCTGCTAAATGGCAAGAAGCCAT